AGAATGGGTTTGTAGAATTTTTATTTATTCTTTAGTATTTATATTTTTATTTATGGTAGTTTTATCAAGTCGGTATTTTTTAACTTTCTTTTACGTTTTGTACATTGTATATAGTGTTAGTGTTTGTATGAGCTGCGATGGATGATGTATTTGATTTGTGAATTGAATAAAAGATAAAAGATTGTTTGAGATCCAATCTTAGAGTGTTTTTTCCGTCAACCATGAAAGCACAAGTAGTCTAATAGTTAGTAGTAGTTTGTAATAGACCAATACTAATAGTCTAGTCTAGAGTAGACCTGTATACGATTGATAGGTATCAACATATTCATTTTTTTATGTTAATTTTAGTGGTTAGCTAGTCTATATGTTTAAAAGTTATATTGATTATTACTAATTGCTACTTACTAGTTGGTCTATTGGTTGACGGAAAACCACTCTATTGTATCAATGTCGTAGAGTATTAACGACTAGTGTCAGTGGTCTGTGTGGTCCTTCTAAAATAAAATAGAAACAAACGTTCTGCTGCTATGGAGGATAACTGTCTTAGGACATGTTCTTTATGACAACAATTCTACATATTTTATGTGTAACAATTCATATCAAAGAATTGCCTCAGAAAAGTTGTCCCTCGTTTGTCGGCCATATTTCGTAATCTCACCTTATTTGAAAGTAAGTGTGGACTGATTTTTGGCGATTTTCTCGACTTTTAAACCTTGAAATCGTCTGAAACATGCAGATATTATAGCGAAAACACTTCTCGACAATCGGCCATTTTGTTTGTTTCCATATCACTGGAAAACATCGCGCGCTTTAAAGGTTGTAAACTTGATGTAAATATGATGTAAGTGTCCAAAATTCTGTAATTTTGATGTAAATGATTTCCATTAAATTTTGGAAACTTACATCATATTTACATCAAATTTACAACCTTTAAAGCGCGCAATTTTTTCCAGTGAATGTATGTAAAATCATGTAAATATTACTTGTACATAATTTACATCAAATTTACAACCTTTAAAGCGCGCAATTTTTTCCAGTGCTTATGGCATAGATTTTCTAAAGGAAGCCCGAAAATGCACAGGGATCCCGCTCGAATGACATACACAATTCTTTGATATTAGTATTTGTTTCATGGGTACATGGCCATGACGGCAGTCAACAGATCTCATCTCCACACCTGCACTCGTTTTCCTAACCATTCCAGCGCAAATACTCGACCATCTGGTGTAACAGCAACATCATTAGGAGAATGCATTTGACCAAGACATGAACCATAGCTACCAAAGGACCTTATGAACTGACCGTCTTGACT